GATAACCACTCTCTTAGCAACTCTTCCAGCTGCTATGCTAGCAGCTCTTTAAGCAGCTCTGCTAGCTGCTATACTAGCGCTCTCTTAGCAGCTCTGCTAGCTGCCCTGCTAGCAGCTCTCTTAACAACTCTGCATGCTGCCATGCTAGCGGCTCTCTTAGCAATACTGCTAGCTGGTCTGCTAGCAGCTCTGATAACCACTCTCTTAGCAACTCTTCCAGCTGCTATGCTAGCAGCTCTTTAAGCAGCTCTGCTAGCCACTATCTTAGCAGCTCTGCTAGCTGCCCTGCTAGCAGCTCTCTTAACAACTCTGCATGCTGCTATGCAAGCAGCTCTCTTAGCAGCTCTGCTAGCTGGTCTGCTAGCCGGTCTCTTAGCAGCTCTGCTAGCTGCCTTGCTAGCAACTCTCTTCAGCTCTGCAAGCTGCTATGCTAGTAGATATGTTACCAGCTCTGCTAGTTGGAGTGCTAGCTGGTCTGCTAGTGGCTCTCTTAGCAGCTCTGCTAGCTGGTCTGCTAGCGGCTCTCTTAGCAGCTCTGCTAGCTGGTCTGCTAGTTGGTCTGCTAGCGGCTTTCTTGGCAGCACTGCTAGCTGGTCTGCTAGAAACTCTGATTGCCGCTCTCTTGGCTGCCCTGCTGGCAGCGCTCTTAGTTCCCTTTTGCTTCAACCATAGGGGTTTCTAAAGTATTAATGTTTATTACTCAAGAAGAAGTATAAATCCTACTGTTTAAAAACACTTTTGCAGACATCCCAAGTCTCCCAGAAGTTCCAGGAGTCTCCCTGATATAGATAGTTGTTCATGTCTTCAGTACAGGGGCCATAACAGGGGCCAGGACATGATCTACAGGGGCACTGGCCCCCGTTGGCCCCTGTCTAGAACCGGCCATGGTGAGGAATGATGACACAGTGGCGAGGTGCACTGTATGCTGAAGTCCCATGAAAAACAGAAAGCAGAACTAATGTTCAAGGCTACAAGACTGGAAGTATTAAAAAATAAAAGACCAATATCGCTCTTTTTTGTGTTTAAAAATTACTGTTAATAAAAAATTGGGGGGCTATGATAAGCATCTCCCTGAAATTTGTTTTTGGAACTTGGGATGTCTGCTTTTGTAGAAGTTAGAGTATCAACTTTAGCTTTTTGCTCAATTAAAAGTGTAAAAGGACCATGTTTAAAACTACTTAAAGTGTAAAAGTAAAAGTAATGCAGGAAAAAATGTGAAGGACAGATGTTTTAAACTTTATACTGGTCACTTCACTACCCTATTAAAGGAAAATTCTTTTACAATTCTGGATGACTTCCTTATAGTTAAAAATAAATACTCCAGTTAAGTAAAGTTAGCCAAAATTTCTACTTCAGTATTGAAGTACTTTGTTACTTGAAATATTATATATGGGTTTGTGATGAGAAAAGGATAATAGCATGTCAAAGCACTGTCAGTTTTCCAGTCTTCGTACCGGTTTGTAAATCCTCATAATCTCTGATATCACTCTCTGGGTTTTGTTCGATGATGCTGAGTAACTGAGCGTCTGTCAGGTACTGCACTTCTTCTGCAGCATCTCTCCTCTCCTTCTCTGCTATCACTGCCTCCTGCAGGATGAAATAGCTCCTCGGAATCTGGCAGGTGAGATATTAAGATAAAAAAGTATGTCAAAAAAGAAAATACAAGAAAACTTTGACATTTCAAACAAAACTATACGGAAGACGATAAGGGCCACTGAAAAAATTAAAAAAAGTTAACTGATTTTTACATTTTATTTCGGTATAATTCTGACAATTCTGACTTTTTTTCTCAGAATTCTGTCTGAATTCTGTCAGCTAACAAAAATGTTAGCATCAGGCCATAGCCATGTTTGTCCTTTTTTTTATTATATTTTATAATAAAATATTATATATAAACCTGAAATGTTAGAACTGTAAATTTACAGTCATATGTTTACATTACTGTTTTTATATATTGTTTACTATTTTTCAAGGCTGCACTCGAAATTTCTTCATTAATGAAATAGTATCAACGGTCACATAAAAAATAACTTTATTCCCTCATTTTCCACCAATGTGTTACTGTCCCTCCCAAACAACTCACATCTTTGTCAGAGAAGCTGAGTGCTCTCACATCTCTTCCTTCATGGTTCCATCTACATTAAGATTAAAGCCAGAATTCTGAGAAAAAAGTCAGAGTCCTGAGATTATCATTTTCCCCACATTAAACTGAAATAATATTTAAAAATCAGTTAACTTTTTTTTTTTTTTCAGTGGCCCTAATCCTCTTCCGTAAAACCACATCATCCATGGTATTTATCTTTACTTTTATGTACTTATTTTTACAGGGAAAGCCCACACTGCAAAAAATTTAAATCTAAATAAATCAGTTCATCTTAAATCAAGAGCATTTTTTCTTAAATTCAGGAGGTAAGTGAGACACTTTGCCAATGGAAAAAGATAATTCACATTTAAAATAAGAAAAAAACAATTGCATTGTCTTATTCCAAGTGCATATTATCTATTTATCTTATTTTAAGAGTAAAAATACTAATTTCACTGGCAAATCATCCCATTTACCTACTCAAAATAAGGGTAAATACACAAGACATTTTTTTTTAGCTATTTTTAGATAATTCTTACAGAGCAATTAAATATTATCACCCTTGATCAACTAATGCAGCTTACATAGGGCTTCTTGCTAAAGGCCATTGATCCAAAGAAATAATCAAGTACGTCTGATAAAAATAAAATAATACTAAATCTAATAAAAATTAAATTATACAACAAACAGGTAGAATGAATTAACATTCATGTCTATTGTTTACCTCAGTGTCAAAGTTAAGGAAGGACTGAGATGGAAGGAGAAGTGAACCACAGAACATTCACTCCCACGCAGAGAACAATGTTTGTGTAGCAGAGCTAACTGTAGCGTAGCACTCACCAGTCTGCCCAGCAGCTTAGCACCACAGGCCGAGCTGCCGCTGTCCTTCATGGAGAGAGCCACCTGGTAGATCAGCGTCTTCAGACCTTCCAAACCCTCCAAGGTTTTACACGACACTTCACTGAGAACCACCAGAAAACAGACGATTGCAGCAGGAGTTCTAATAAATGTTCTTTAAAACCTCACAGCCAGGATAACAGTTGGGATTGCTGACACATTGCTGGATTACCTTAGCAGATTTCAAAGAAACTGTAACTAACTGCTCTCAGCAGCTAAAGCCGAGCTAACTTCATGCATAAAGCAGGTAAAAAACAAACAATCATCTAAAATAAAATCTTATTGTAGACTATTTCAAAGGAAAGACGCCTGGAAGATGTAGATTTAAAGTTATTTTTTAACTTGACCCAAATGTTTCTTTGGACTGAAGGTGATAAAATAGGGTGATCAGATTTGGGTTTCTGAAAAGGAGGACACCTTTTTTTTATTTTGACCGGACCGGGTATTCGATCCGAGCCGCCAGCTCCGGGGCTGGTCCAGGAACCCCGGCGGATGGGGGCAGGGAGCCAGCGGGGGGCGGAGCGACCAAACCTGACCATGTGACTGTATGCTTTCTCCCCGCTTGCCTTGTTGTGCACGGCTCCCTGCCCCCATCCGCCGGGACCAGCCCCGAAGCTGACGGCTCATTTCTGCTGCACTGTAGTCGACCAAAATCCCAGACACTTTTAAAATTCCCACCCGGACATGTTTTTTAGGTATGAAAAGTAGGACATGTCCGGGAAAAAGAGGACCTCTGGTCACCCTATGATAATATATCATTAAGTGACATAGATTTGAGCAGGAATCATAAATAATAGTGTGGTGGTTTTTCCTACAATCTTAAGGAGATGTATTATTTAACTTCTTAAATTTAAACCAAGCAGTGGTATGAATAATTGTGGACTTTGCTGTAAATGGAACAAACAAATTATTGGCAATCCTCCTTTTATCATCAAGTGATGGTTTTGTAAAATACTACTAAAGATATTGTGTTAAAATGTTTAAACATATAAAATGCTCCAAATGTGCAAAGATTGCAGTTTTTGGCTGTGAGTATTATTGACCTTTTTGACAAAATTTTGATTCTAAACTCCAACACAACTTAATTTATGCTGAGTCTCTCTCAAAATGCCTTTAAACTTTAACCTTTAAACTTTTAGGGCCTCATTCAATATAAAAAGAATCTCCGTCTAAATAGTTTAACACAGGGGTCCTCAACGTTTTCCAGGCTAAGGACCCCCAAAACTCATGGCTAGATGTAGCAGAGACCCACTAATTATATATATTGTATGAAATTGTGTTCTATCAAACTGGTCCTATAGTCATTCTATTACAGATGGAGTCATGTAATGAAAGTAATTCCTCCCTGGGATTATTAAAGTATTTCTGATTCCTGGTTGATGGGACAGGTGTTGTTAATGAAACGGTGCCCAGCTTGAAAGAGCTCCTGTGTGTCACTGAATGTGTGCATTGATGACTGAAAGACATCTTCTGCCTCCATTTATCTGTTTACTACAGTGAGTTGAATTCATGATGATGTGGATTTAAAGACATTTCAATTAGTGGAAAAAATTGCAGAGGGGAGTATAAAGAAAAAAGTCTAATCAACCAAAACTTTTGTGACCCCCATGCAGTACCTCCGTGGACCCCCTAGGGGTCGCGGACTGTTGAAGACCTTCGGTATAACAGATGGAAAACATGTCTTACTGCAGGTGTTTGAAGGTGATGTCGGGGTAACCCGCTGCTCTTGCTCCGGACGGGGATCGACACAGCGCCAGTACATAAGCTCTCAGGGTTGCCAGCCTCTCTGTGCGGAACTTGGTATCTATGAGATCCAGATGGGTTCCTACAACCACCACGGCAGAGTTGGGTGCTCGTGCCTACAAGGGAGAAAACCCAGAAACTCACTTAGTATTAAAATGAATGGATCATTGAAAGGAGAAAGACTGAAAAAAATTAGGCCCAATCTTTCTTTTACTGAAGCTAAATATTCTGTGAAAAGGTTTTCTGTCTGTCAGAGTCCCGTAACAGACAAAAAGGATTCGTCGGTTGTTATGCTAATTTTGGTTTATGAAGTTTGATAAGACAGACAGTAAAACGTCCCGATGCTTCAGTGCTGAACAGAGACCTGATTTAAGATTGGAAATGAACAAAGAGCAAGGTCCAGAGTTCTTGTAGACGTTCACTGCAGCTGCTGACATTTTGAAATAACACCAACGTTATGCAAAAACCCTGGGGTAAAATAACTATCAATAAAAACCATACCGTATGCACCGTATTTTTCAGACTGTACGTCGCTCCGGTGTTTAAGTCGCATCAGCCAAAAAATCCATTATGAAGATGAAAAAAGCATAAATACGTTGCACCGGACTAAGAGTCACACCTTTTTGAAAGGTTATTCTATCCATGGAATCCGTGTTCTGATAACTGTCGTGTGGCAGGCTGCCGCTCAAAGACCACATTGTTTTATTTCATGAACGATTATGGTCACCAACTCCCTGAAGAAAAAAAAAAAGGAAACCTAATGTGCGTGTCAGCTGACCCGATTGCCTTAACCCTCCTGGCGTGGTGATTTTTTTTCAGCCCCAGTTTTTTGTGCAAATTTATTTTTTTTACTATTTCACTCAAATCTGCATTGAATTAGATGCATATTTGTGAGTGACATGAACACATGGAAAACAAATTATTATCCAGCGATTCACTTTAATACAAAATAACAAACTTTGCTAAATAAAACATAATCCTGTCCTGCTTAACTTCATACTGTAAAAACTAATATAAAACAAAAAATAAATGGTGTACATTTTTGGTACTACAGTAAACTTGTAAAGATATTTGTGTCTTAAATGCAATGACAGAAAAAAAAATCATTAGCTCAATGCCACATTATGTGGTGATAGTCTACTTTTTTCACTTGTATTTCCTCTGAGCTCTTGCAGTGGTAAGGAGTTGTTTGTCTTTTATTGCTGCTAAGTAAAGCAGCGTCAGCATTTAAATGACTCCTTTCGTCCCCCATACTGCTCTGCTGTCTCCCACTATTTTCCCGTGAGCAACACTTTGCTCGACCAATGGGATGAGGGGATTCTGGATCATTACATTTATGTTGTCAGCTCATTGGTCACAACGCAGGACAGGGCTCAGGAACAAGTTTACTGTAAGTTTTGTATCTAACGTGCCTAATTAGCTAATTAGGTTTTTAATGACTTTTTTTACTCTCACAGTAATACGGGACAAAGTGTGTTCCTTTTCCACTAAACACGGGACGGGTACTTCTATTTCTAAATACGGAACAATTCCGTTTTTCATGGGACGGTTTGCAACCCTATGAACAAGCATCTGAGAAGCAGTGATAACGCGCCAGCTGCCCTGTCGCCTACTCTGGTTGGTTTAAATATCACCACTACTATCATTAATACTATCACTACTGTTATAGGCGTACATGTAAAATGCCTAGTCTACAGGCCTATTTTATAGCCTAATTTATACTTTTAATCAGTTTGCTTTTAGAACATTTAACCGGTGGGGTTTCTCGCCCCGTGGCTCTTTTTTCAATAAGACTGCAGTCCCCATCAAGGAGTGTAATGCTTCATTTTTGTTCAATTTTATTTTATCAAATAAAATAATCTCTAAAGACAGGTAGGGTAGTAAAAACGGTCCTCAAGTGAAGAAGAAAAAAAACAAAAACAACATCAGAGGAAATAAAACAGGCAGAAAGTGTTCCTGTCCAATACCAGATAAAAATATCTAACATCATTCAGACCACTATATTATATGAAGATGACAACACTAAAGTTGAACAACCAAGTTTTTCACTGCATCCAAACTGTTGTTCAGCTGCCCTATTTCCATTTTCAACTGCATATTCAATAACTTTCAGCTTGAATTCAGCAGTATATGAATTTCTTTTTCTTTTCGTTGGCATATTTCTATTCAGTCGTCGTTATTGTAATGCACTTTTTTTTGTTGTGGTAAGTTGTAACGTTTTTTTCTTTCAGTGGTATTACCGGTTAGCCTGACGTAGTCCTACTTAATTCTAGTCAGAATATGAGTCTGATACTGCTCCATAGAGCTGTGACTATGGGGCGTGTTTCGAATGAACCAGGAAAAAAAAATGCCTCTGCACTCAATTGAATAGACCTACAACCAATAAGAGCAACGGAGTGAGTGACGTATGTTAAGCGACACATAGTTGGTGTCAACATAAATCAAAGCGTGCAGTTGCACGCCTAGAGTAAGAGATGAGACTTGATCGCGTTTCTCTGTTCCTCTTTTAAAATTAATTTGCTGTCGATATCTTCTAGAACAGAC